ATGTGACAGGATCGTTATCAGGCATCGCGTACTAGCTTCCTGGAAAATAGTAAGCGCAAACGTTAATTAATTCTCCAACTTAGAATCGATATAGGATATTGATATTGATATAGATATCAATGATAATTATGGATTCGTGAAAATTAAAGAAATGCAAATATAAGAATATGATACTTCAAATTTACGGTGCTTTGTATTATTGAATGAGAAATTTAGAGATTAAATCGGATAATTGTATGATTGTGTGAATTTATAATTAATTGAATTATACAAATATACTGTGGCTATCAATATTTATAATCGCCAGGAAAGAGTGAATTATTGCGGTATGTATTTATTTCTTTTTATGTAAATAAGTTAATATAATAAGTCATTAATTCGATACGATACAGCGTATCGTATTAATAATTAATATCCATCGCCGTAATTTTTTCTAATTTAATCGTTGAATAATTCAAGATGATACAACGAGTAAAAAAACGTATCGAGATATTCTATCGGGATATTCCTTCTAGGCATAATTTTTTACAGTTATCTACATGTTTTATGTAATATATGTATCTTATTCGGTATATCAATACAAATAAAAAATAACATATTTTGAATATGGCGACGGAAATAATTCGTAGAAATATCCTTCCTAAAGTTATTTCAAACAAGATAGAGCGTGTAAATATTTTTCTGACCCACTACGCGTCTCGTATTTAAATCAAAATATTTAATAAACCTACCGATAAATATTAATGTCGGCTACTCGAAATAATATACATACGTTTACGTAACGCGAATTACGAGGCGGTCTTGACAGACAGGAGGCAAGGCGTGTATCGAATTAAGACTTCCGAAAGATCGTCAGAGGGGCTGACGAGATCGAGCGAGAAGATGGTCATCAGTGAGTCACGAAAGTATACAGAATGATGGATGAACATGCGACGAGGGTGAAGAACTCTCGAGCGTGAACCCAAGCGAGTTTCTTGTTTACGAAAAGAAGTACCAAGTCGCGGAAAGGTTCGGAGATCCGGGTCCGATGATCGAGGCTTGATAAAACGTTACGAACGTTTATCTTGCCCTTTTTTTTCGCACAGCGCACGGGCGCCGCTGTTAAGGAGCCAGTTGTTCCGTTACGAATACTTACAGCCGAAATTCCGCTGCAATGACGCGACCGTAAGCGCAGCTCTTTTCCTCTTCCTTCGACTCCGGGTGGGACCGATGAAGAAACGGGTATTAATTCGGCAATCAAGATAAAGAGAACATATCCGGATTCCTTAACAGATAAAGAATGGAGCAGTTTAAGGAGAAATGTTTCAGACAAAAATATTCCCTAAGAGAAAAATAGAATGCAATCTTTTATAGAATACGTCATCTTAGAAACGTTAAACTCACTTTATTGATAATATTAATCATTAATGATACTGTATAATCCACTTTAAATTGATTCACGGTACAATTAAATAAGAAGCTACATGAAATACCAGACTTGCGATAATAAATACTAACCGGATGAGAGCCGATGTAATGAGTTCATTGCGAAAAAAGTGGCAATGACGAGAAGAAGTGATTTGTTATAAGAGTATTTTTAAACTTCTATTTTTTCCCCCCTCTATTTCCTCTCTTTCTTCATATCTGACAGTGCCGTTGTCTTTGATTTTACGTAATTTCTCAACTGCGAAGCACAATATTCATTTGTATGAAATAAAACGTTACTTCCGCTGACTGACAATCGGCGGATATGATTGCCTCGCTATTAGCGACGGTCAAGCTATACGTTTATCTCTGTATTTTTTTCTTTTAACAACTCGATAAATTGTAGGGAAGTGTGAACAAATTTAAGATGATTAAAGATCTTTAGAAGATAATTTGTTTTTCATTGATCTTAGTGTGTGTGTTAATTCTACTTATATACACGTATGATTTTTTATAATACTAGTTATGAGATAAATTAAACGCCATAAAACTTTTATTTAAAATATTTTTTATACAGCACGATTCCAAGGATGTTCCAAGGATGTTTGATGTTTGACATCAAATTATACTGCTTTGAATAAAGTAAGTACATGCAAAGAAATACGAATCTTTTATTTATGATTGTTCTACACATCCAAAGTGAACCAATTGAAAGAACCAAGTTATTGAACCAAGTTACCAATTGAAATCGGTAAGGGACAGTTTCGATATTCTTCTTGTAAAAAAAAGATAGTTCTAATAAATTTGATTTTAAGAATGCAGATAAGTAAGGAAAAATACTACAATTTGGAATTTTGTCTACAGTCGGACAAATGGTAATCTACGTTGTACATCTATCAAGAATGAGAAACTGACGCTGCTTCTTTTTCTTGTGCTATAAATAAAGTTCTTATATTTTAATTTATAATACACCACAAAAGGAAAACTTTAGGCTCTTATGTTCTTTCGATATTCTCATAAAAGAATGCAATCATTTTCAAATAATTTTACATCATCTTTTCATATATGTATATCTTAAGTTAATTTATTTTGCAAGATAAATAGTGCAAATTAGAAATATTAAGAAATGTGTAAAATTATAAATATAAAGTAAAAATAATATAAAATATAAGTCTAATAATAATGCTAATATATAAAATAAAAAGATTGAAACAAATATATTAAAATATATTAAAATTATTAATATGTAAATTTTTATTATATCATGATCAAAAAATTTGTATCGATAGTTGATAATAACGATATTCTTCAATTACCTCCAAAGCCAAGATAGTCATGAAAATTTGCCCAGAATATAGTCTTTAATAATATCTTTATATATTCAATCTCTAATTTATATATTTATATCGAATTTTTTTTTTCAAGCTATCTTTTTATTTCATATCATACTACCTTTAAGCTCATTTCTCAGAGGAAGATTATCAAGTGTCGGTTCGAATACTCAATGTTCAACTTATTCGTTATCTTATATCAAACGTATCAAAAGAAATTAAACAATATAGTTTATAATTATTTAATTTTGCGCGCGCAAAATTAAATAATTATAAAACTAACTTTTATTTATTTTTTGGCATCTTTTTGAATTATTGGATTTGATGCCAAATATGCAAATATAAGTTAATTATAAAAAATTTTATTTATACAAAAAATAAAGCCAAAAGTAAATTTATCAAATTATTCCACGAATTTTTATAATTTTATATTCAGCGTAGGTATCAAATATTACGCGCATAGATTTCTAACGCATGTTCTAACGTCCTACCATAACTGTGTTCCATTTTATATAAACTGTAAAAATATTATTTGTAATACAAATGTATTTTAATACGACATGTGTATTAATAATTCTACACGGCTCTTCTCTTTTTTGCACCTGTATCCCTGTATGACGTACGTAATGCAGGAACGACAAGGACATTCATTAAAACTAAATAAAATCATTATATAAGATAAAGAAGTAAAATATGAATAATAAAAACGCAAGAAAAGATATAAGAATTAGAAGAACTTGTTTTTTTTTCTAATAGCATTGTTCCTTGGAAAAAAATACTTATTACTAATCCATTAATTTTTACGTGACACAATTTTTGACACAACACATACACACACACACACACACACACATACACACACACACACAAATGAATTATGAATTCTACATTTGCTAAACATTACAGATAAACAAATTGCTGTAATTGGTTGTGGAAACAGGCAAGGACGTTTTCATGGGCAATTCCGGTATATCTATTAAACTCAACACTAAATTACGATGTGGGAATCAGAGCGAATCGCAAAGTGTATGTATATTTCTAACGTCCGAAACAATATGAAGCTATATTGAATGTTATTATTTAAATGTATATATTTAGATACTACGTTATCTAGAAATCTTTGTGTACACATATATATTGTATTTATATAATATACTGTCAAATAATATTTTTATTTTAACGCTTATATTATTAATAATTTTTCTTTAAATTTTAATGCTACATTTGTAATAAATTAAAATAGCAAAATTCTTTCAGTTTCATCTTTCAAAAGATGCTCCGCGGAAAATATATCAAGTTTTTCAAGCATGCGCTCTCTGCTAATCTTATAAACTGAGAAAACGGATATTACTTAAACGTTGCATTGTACTTGTATTGCGTCTATCAGAATGTGTTTTGATATGCCCTATCTGTTCAAGTACGCATACATCGTCCTCGTGAATTACGTGCATTACATTTCCAGTACATCATTTACACGCCACGAATTTAAATGACAAGTTTGAACTGGAACCGATAGACAACGAGAAATTCTTCGTGCAGAAATACTTCATTCCATCTTCACGCACATATATATCACTTACAATTAATGTTATTTGCATATACTTCTTTTTATGTCATAAAAAAAACTTTTTTCCCGATTGTCTATGTCACACGGGTATTCAAGCAATAAAAAATTCGCGGAAATGTTTTGCTCTATCCGTGTATATTGTCAATTCAATCAGTCAATCGACATTGATTCTTAGGTGGGTCTTGGCCTATTCTAAAAATAGATCTTTTATAAACAATTCGTAACAATAGTTGTTCCACATGATGTGGTCGTCGGCCACATGCACCTTCAATTTGAAGGTCCAGGAAGCCGCTTTTCACGGATTACGAATTTCAAATCCGTATGTGGAATTGAATCAAAGATTATAATTATCAATTATGTATCTTTAAGACATCCCACTTCTTTACTCAAAAAGTAAAAATTTACACATTTATAGTTTTGGGATAAGAGGGATGTTATAACAGTAATTCTCTCTCTCGGAGCGTGTTTAAATATCTTTATAATAAAATTGTCACGCGTGATTACGTGCATCTATTATTTTGAATAAAAATTTGTAAGCTGTCAGATACCAATGCCGAATGTAAAAATATCGAAATTTGAGATTAGAAATTAGTTTCTCGGAGAAAGAGCACGCCAATTGCAAGAGCTATTATTTCGCGAAATACATAAACACCTGTTATAGCTACTTGTTACGCGTATATTTGTTATCGAGAGCAACGAACGTGATACATTAAAGGACACATGATCAAAGGACAATATAGTCGCCTTGAGATCTACTGCCGGAGAATCCAAAAGCCTCGTTAGACACGTTATGAAAAGACCGTGAAAAAAGACCCTCCCCCATTTGTCGAACAAATTGGCGATCTGAGACTCGCCGATCTCCGGCGATGATGTCACACGAAGGAAGGAGTAAACGCATGCGTTAACACGTGAATGCCGTGTGGACCGCGAAAAGGCGAAGAGGTGCGCACAGTTGAACAAGAGTGTGAAAAAACGATTGTATAAGTAACTGGTGCGGCGATCAGAAGGCAATCGTAATATGTGAATTAACGAGACGGTGCAGCGTGAGGGAATTCTCATAAAAAAAATCCACGCTGCATTCGCGATCGATCGATTCTTCGAAAAGAAAATGTCCGTTGATTTTACTCTTAAAGGACGGCGGTACCTTTTCGCATTCTTTTTCGAAAAAGTGGCCACTGATAAGGAAAATAATGTAAGTTCTTACGTAGTAATTGTGCGTCATTATGCTATAAAATATGTATTGCGAACTTTTGTGTAATTATGATAAGCTATTCGTATCACGTTCTGGTAATTTTATTCTCGCAGTAAGTATATTCGTATGAATACGCGAAGAGTAAGTATTAATTCTAAAGTTGAATTTTTTTTGTTGAGTTACAAGCCTGTAGTGTGTTTAATACACGAGTCGTTAAAGACGGGATAATGAAACGCGGTGATTTCCCGCAAACAATTAGCGGAAGACAAACACGATGTTACGTGAGTCTTAATTGTTGTCAGATGATATGTGTCGGTTAACGCTTGCGTACAAATTTGCGAATCGGATATTCTTTCTATCTGAAACTATAAGTAAAATATCGTGAAACATATTTAATGTTTTATATTACAAGAATAATTTACAGAACATAACAATGTGTTGTAAATTTTAATTTATTCAGTGAAATTGAACTTTCACTTATAATTCGTCTAATTAAACAATCCCAGGTAAATAAAATCTAAAAATCTAATTAATAAAGAGTTTTAAGCATGCAAACTTCAATTATTTTTTAATAAAAATTTTATTTTCAAGAATTTAAAGAAAGAAGAATGATTCAACGAAAAATTTGAAAAAACAATTTAACAAATTCCTTCCAAAGCTTTGCTCTTAGCACAAAAATATATATATATTATTGTGTTTTTTAGAAATGGATAAGATCTGAAACGAATCAAAACGTTTCTAAGATATGTAAAACTTATAAGTTTGTTTATTTATTTATTTATATTACCTATCGCCTTTCCAGATCTCTTACCGCGACCCTTATTGCGACGTTTGAAAGGACAATAGTACAATCGGTGAATAACAATGGCCATAACTAATTTCCAAAGAATGATTAAGGATAGAATTCCCATTTTGAAATGGATGCCGCAGTATAAACTAAAAGATGCATTGGGTGATCTTGTTGCAGGGCTCACCGTAGGGTTGACGTTGATACCTCAAGTACGTAAAACGCGGTATACGTTCGTTCGATTGCCTGACGCTATTCGATCGCTATTTAGTCAGTAATTTAAAAAAAACGTAATAATCGCAATTACAGGCGATAGCTTATGCAGGTTTAGCGGGCTTGGATCCGCAATACGGGCTTTACAGCGCGTTTGCGGGAAGTTTCGTGTATATCTTCTTCGGCACGTGTCGAGAAGTCAACATTGGTCCGACAGCGTTGTTATCTCTACTGACTTGGACATACGCGAGGTACGTCAAAGCTTCTCGTAAAACTAATAAAATAGCAGAGTAAGTTACTTAAATTTGCAAACTTTTGCACGTGACAAATTCCACATATCAATTCGCGCTTCTTTCGTTTAAAGGCCAGAAATTTGTTCACTGTTTAAATTTGTTTCACTGTTACTGTATAGTTTTTCAGAGTTTTAAATGTCGTTTGTTACATTTTCTTTTAATATACAAAATTTAAATTTTATAGCACTGGTTAGAAACCAATTAATTTTAGAATCATTGACCGGAAGCTGTAAATCTCGCTTGTATTGAGCCACGTCATTTGTGCGCATGATTGACATAACAATGTTCTCGCTTGACATTTCATCCGGTCGCGCGGAATGAAAGAGTATGCTAATCGAGCGAGATCGCTTGAACCGTAACATAATTGAATTGTTAAAAGACATTTTTCATAAGTCGCCTCTCGAGAAAAAAGTCGTCGTTTGCCGTCTCAAGGCTGTATAACATAAAAATCAATTTACCGAGCCTGATGATTTCTTTTTCCAGTGGAATTCCCGAGTACGCGGCCTTGCTTTGCTTCTTGTCCGGATGCATCACGATATTACTTGGCATCCTACGCCTAGGGTTTCTGATCGAATTCATATCGATACCGGTGGTGTCCGGGTTCACGTCAGCCGCGAGCGTCATCATCGCTTGCAGTCAAATAAAGAGTCTGCTGGGTCTGAATATTCACGGCGAGAGCTTCGTTGAGATTTGGGCGGGTCTGGTACAACATGTCGCCGACACGAAAATACCAGATTTGATTTTATCATGCTGCTGCATCCTAACTTTACTGGGTCTGAAGGTGAACCGATTGAACTGTACACAGAAAAAAAGAAATGTCAAATTAGAACTTATATATTCGTATACACGCAACAATCTATATCTATAATCTTCTTTTAAGAATTTCAACTTCTTTTTCTTAGTTAAACTATATGAAACTTTAACTGTATAAATAACGTCATTCAAGCAGGCTTTCTTCAAAAAAAAATGCTTGAATGAAGTCATTTATATATTAGTTAAACGAAGTTTTATATATGTAGTTCAACCAAGAAAAAAAAAGTTGAAATTCTTATTAGATCATAGATTGTTGCGTATATACGAGTATGTAAATCTTAATCGTTTTTTTTTTGTAGCATTTGAAAGACAGAGAGGTTGCTGGTACCAAGCTGAAAAAGTTCCTCTGGACGATCGGTACAGCTAGGAACGCTCTCGTGGTCGTCCTTTGTGCAGTTGCATCTTATATTTTCGAAACGCACGGTGGGGCACCGTACATTCTCACGGGTCATATCGACGCCGGTCTCCCGACCGTCGAGCCACCTCCGTTTTCGAGAACAGTTGGAAACCAGACTGAAACATTCATCGATATGGCGAAGAAGCTCAAGTTTGGGATCTTGGTCATACCGTTCATCTCTATTATCGGAAACGTCGCCATCGCAAAAGCTTTTTGTACAAGTCGTTTTTAACACATATCGTATTATATTAAGTCATTCCATAAACGATTTTATTTCTTTGTGTTTGGTAGATAAAATATCGAATAAGTAAATTTTAATGGATCATATACGCGACGCATGGCATCCCATACCAAGTTATTGTGTAAGAATATACCTGAATATTTTTTTCATCATTTAAAGCACATGGCATGCCGTTGGACGCCACGCAGGAAATGCTGACTCTCGGATTGTGTAATCTGGTCGGTTCGTTCTTTCAGTCGATGCCCGTTACAGGATCCTTTTCGAGAAGCGCAGTAAATAACGCTTCTGGTGTTAGAACCCCGTTAGGTGGGATCTACACAGGTATAAATTTCACCGATTGATTAAATGGCGCACTTACATATTCTCGTGTACAACATTGACTAAGTTTACACGTCCATCATTAATCGGGTATAGTAACATCTGCAGTTATAACTACCGACGTAATATGTCGTATAAACATTAGTTAATCCGGTTTTATAACACCAGTTGTTATATTACGTCGGCAGTTATAACTACTACAGATGTTACTAAACCCGATTAATAATAGACGTGTAAACTTTAGTCGATTAAACGTCTGTGATAAATTGAGCGTTATCTTTTACGAGGAGAATAACGCACAAATCTCTTCAAAAAGAAAACGAAAAAAATATTAACAACAAATAATTTCAGGTATTCTAGTCATACTATCGTTAAGTTTGCTGACTCCGTATTTTTATTACATCCCAAAAGCGACATTGAGCTCTGTCATAATTAGCGCGGTGATATTCATGGTAGAAATTGGTATGATACTTCCAATCTGGAAGTGCAATAGTGAGTATAATATAATCAAAATAATTCTATTCTTTTAATAAATATTAATCATTTTTATATGAAACGCGGTAGAAATGATGATAAAATAGTAACAAATACATATACAAAACTACAGATTTCTAAATTTATTCGTTTATGAAAAAAAAATTACAAACTTGCCTAGTTTTTAAGGGATATCCCCTTAACTAAAAGTTCATGCTAACAAAATTAATAAATAAAATATCGTTTTTCTTTATAGAACGTGATTTAATACCGGCGTTCGTCACGTTCCTCGCTTGTCTATTCGTCGGAGTCGAATTGGGAATTTTGATAGGTACGCTACTCGATCTGGCTATATTGGTATACCTCAATGCGCGGCCGACAATAAATATCGAGCACAGAAACGTAAGGATGCTTTCGAATTTAGATATTCTTACTCTTAGGAAACGATTCTTTCAGGAACTATACAGGATGAAAAATCTTCTTTTCGCAGATCTCGACAATCGATTATTTCTTAGTCCGTCCCAGCGCTGGAATTTTGTTCCCCGCGGTAGATCATCTGAGAATGTATCTGACGAAAAATCCCGGGATGAATGTCGTATTGGATTGCGAGCACATCGACAGAATAGACTTCACTGCCGCACAGGTTTCAAAACCGCTAATTTACTTATACATAAATGCAAAATTGTTAATTAGAATATGATTAATCATGTAACACAAAGAACGTTAAAAATTGATCGATAAATATACCTGCTTTTAAGATGTTAATATTGATATTATATTATTTTTAGAGTATCAGTATGATGATAAAGGACTTCAGGAAAAACAATTGCCAATTAATAATGCTGCGAGCAAATTGTGCTATTTTAACGAGTATACAATCGCTATCCGACAAGCAAATCTTGATGGCGAGAGACGAAGTCGATTTAATCGCAATTTTAGGAGGACCCAAAGGCATGACACACGATCTCGCGATCGTCTCGAAAACGAATGAACGGGCCTCTACATGGCTGTGATACATATCTTGAATATTTTCCTTATAAATGTAATAAATGAATATGTTAACCGCGTAAGAGCTCATGTGTATTTATCTTTTTGTTGTATATTGGTTGCCACCAATATACACACACAAGAGATGTCGAATGTTAGAATTTTCGTCTCGAAATAAGCCTGCCATGCTGTAGGACAAATTATTGTGTATATATATAAAATAAATTAATGTGTATACATATCTTACACATAAACATGTACATATAAAATTTTTCATATTTCTTATATGTGCAATGTTCCGTCAAGCATATATAATGAAACTTTTATATGTTAAATTGACCTACCTTTGTTAATCGTAAGTGTTAATAGTGAAGTTAAAAGACATAATAAATAAATGTTTTAAATATGTCTGTTATTTTTGTTTCTTCTCAATAAATGTAAAGCAGATTTGATTAAATATTTTTATAAAATGCACCGAAGTGCATTTTATAAAAATATTTAATCAAATCTGCTTTACATTTAATGCACTTCGGTGCATTGCCAGATTCTTCATCTTGATGAACTTTGAACTTATAAATTGATTGTGCAGGAAGGAATCATGTTTTAAAAATAACTTTAAAAAATTAGAAATTTATTAAGGAATTAACGATGTAATGTAAATTAATCAATATAGAAATATCAAAATGTATTGTATTTATTTCATAAAACCAGTCCAGAAAAAATAAACTATATCATCTCTATCAACAATACAATTTGAACACAAAAATAAGATAGAAAAATTAAGGTACATGTAGAATTATATAGTTTTCTGAAACATTTTATCTTAAAATTATAAGAAATCAAACATGAGAAAATCTTACATGCTAAATATATGTTAACATTTCTCGCAATCGATATGTTTCGAACAAACTTTTACATACCTCGCGATTCGTAACTGAACTCATCTGTGAAAACTTACAGATTTAAACAGAACTTATATTTCTATATTTATGAATAGCGTATTAAGCTCTATAAAGATTTAAAGCGAGTCTTTAAGTGCAAGGTGAGCACCATTTTGGGTTACCCGATATCACAATAGAATATGAATCTAAACAATACATATACATATACGTTGGCAATTGCGATATAGTAGAGATTTTCAATTTCATTAACTGATTGTTATATAAAAAACGTAATATTTTTTTCGAGATATCAAAAATAGAAAAGGAGATAGTAAATAATTATTTATAGTAGATCAGAGTAATATATATATAATGTAGAAGCAGTCTTATCGAACAATTTAGAAAACTTTACTATTGATTTTCTTAATTAGATTATCATCATTATCAGATTTATAAGAGGTAGAATATTTAAAAATTTTTTTGAATGTGTACCCGTATTTTATATAACTTACTCTCAGTTTAGATCTAACATTTTTATGTTCTCTTGGTTTTGTATGTACCGCGACCGATACTAACAGGATATGTATATTCCTTCGGGAAATCTTGTAAAGTTGTATTTCTGCGGAAACCGCCTCTTGGGAAGGAAGATGGCGGACGATATCCCGAATTCGGTTTCATTCTGAACTCCGGTTTAAACACACGTGTCGCAAACTGATCAGTCTTATTTGAAAGACTGATATTATCCGTTACAAATTCTTTGGGGGATATTATTGGGGGGATGTCTTCCGCCGATCCATTGTCATCATAAGCGAAATCTTGATTCTTTTTCATGTAATTCGACACATTTTGCCTATAATGTCTCTGATTTGGCGGACAATACGATGCGTTGTACTGATTTATACCTGTCGCAGGCATGACATTCATACCTTGTTGCGATCTCGAATACGAAACTGGTGGTATGTATTGAGGAACATCGTAAACTGCTCGATTGTCTTGATACTTCTTGTAATAATAATTGGATTTTACTGGAACGTTATCGGCAGTATTTCTCTGCGCTTGTACAGCGCAGGTATTCGTATCATACGTATCTCTAACATAACTATTCATTTGCGCGTAAGGATTATGTTTTTGCTGCTGGTCATGCACGTTGTTGAAATTATTCGGTTGATTGCTAGGTTGAGAAAACGTGGTATAATTCGCGCATGGCGAATTATACAGAACGGGCACTGCATACTGCAACTGTGAATTCCACGTTTGCATATACGGCGCGTACATAACTGGATGTGAGACATAATCCACCGTATGCGCATTGTTGAAGTCGTCCAGTCCAAAAGCTGCGGGATTGTAAACGTGCATCATTGCAGGCTGCGCTGCAATATACGGATGCTCAACGTGGAAACCCTCTTGCACCGAGGTACTCCACCTAGCCTGATTAGTTTGACACGGTGATAAAGAATGACCGGGATAATCCGAAGCCATAACGGATCTCTGCTGTACGTTCGGTCCGTATCTGTAAAGTACATTTGAATTTTCTCTATTATTACTCATCGTAGTTTCCAGCGTAGACGTAGCGGTGACATTGTTGTCGTTGGATATTGGTGCGTTGTACTCGTATGGCAACGCGCTGAAAGAAGTATTTGGAATCTGCGACAGCCGCATCGCGTCGCTAACCGAAAATTGTTGATCATAAAACTTGCTGTCGTTCAGTTCCCACGGCGACATCTGCCTCGTTGGATTTCCTGCTTGAGTGAAAGTCTGTTGCGTATTAAGATGCATATTTTGAACAGGCTGCTGTACACTCATAACTGTCGCGCCTTTTTGCGTAGCGTTATCAGACGGTTGATCCCAAGTAGCTTGACTGCTCTCAAATTGATTTACATCATTCGTGCGTTGCATATTTTCTAACTTTACCGAATACTGATGTGTCACATCATTGAATTGCGAATTTGTAGAATACTCATCAGAGGTTAAATTAAAGGACGAGTGTTTAAACAAATCTGTTTCTTCATTTTTCGTATCTCTATGTTGCTGGTCAATACTTTCGACTTTAATTAAGATATCACTCGTTTCTACGCGACACTGTTGTGCTTCTGACGTTGCAAGTTCTTGTTTCGGATGAGCAACACTTGAATTCGTATTTTCCTTACTTTGTGTCTCCATTTTTACAGGTTTTATATCCTTTCTATCGTTAAACGCTAAATCGATACATTCACTGGTCGATTTTACATTTATCGGTTGAATTATTTCTTTCTTCTGCTTTGCCCAATTCTCCGAATTGCTTGTGTTAGGTTCTTCAGTCCCTGTATCTGATTTTATAAATGTATTAACAGGTGTGTGCTCTCGCTTCGGAATTCTACGTTCAGCACTGCCATTACGATCCCTATCAAACCTTGGATTAGTGTACGCATACGACGAATTTCTTCCATACGCAGCATGTCTCGGAATATTTTGCGTCGGCTTCGAGTACGCCGAATTTTTATACTGCGCGACAAATGTATTTTTTCTACAATTAATATTGCGATTTCCTCTTTGATCGCTTTGAGCATTTTTTTCACGAACAATCTTCTCATTTTTCCTTTCAGTTTCATTTAATGGCGAATCGACATTTTCAGGCGTATGTGCCGCTTTCTCAGTTTTATTTTTATCATCAGAGAAGTTAGATGTATTCTTTCTGAGAGAATCTTGACCTTTTGATTTCGATGCAAATTGTTTTGGCGTTGTTTGTTGCAGTTTCTGTGAAGCTTTATCTCTATTTAAATTTTTATTTTGACATGTATCAGCTGCCTCAACACCTGTTTTCACCACGTTTGGTTTCCCAGCAGCATTTCTCGTCTCCTTTTCTATTGCATTTCTTGGGACATTACGTCGTTTTACAAATTCTTGTCTTCTTACGATAGTATTTTTTGTATTATTTTGTTTGTTATTAAAGTGATCCCTTCCAATTTTATCAGGGGTGTTCAGTGATTTCGATAAATTGGAAACTGCTTTCTTGGAATCGTTACTAGGACTGGAAAACTTTTCATTGTCTTTGGCTAAATTTGTATTACTGCCAGTCTTAATACCCGTTTTTGTTATATTACTTGTTCTTACTCGCACATCTGAAAATGGAATAAATAAGAAATATATATTAGAAATAGATATTACATATCTAATATTTCATAAAATTATATGAAACATGTACTTATATGATATATACTTTACAGATAAAAAATATATATATATGTATATATATTTACCTTTATCCTTTGGTTCTGTTGAAGGTTTACTGCTTTCTGTACTAGTTATTTTGCAAGTTGACTTTTGTTCATCGTTTACCTTTGACGTACATGGTGTTATGGATTTGGAATCATTATTATTACCATCGGAATGTATTAATTTCATCTCTTTTGCGCCTCCATCAGTTTTTTGTGAATCGGAAGAACTTTTCGTTGCCGCGTCCCTAATTTATTACAGATATAAAATATCACAACAAAACAGGACATTTAATACAAATAAGTTAGATTCTGTTTATACTTACTGTACAACGTCTTCAGCATTGTTCTCTGATGTACTTGATTGATCTTTCTGCTCTTTGTTTATACAGAACTCGGCCTCCAGCTTTGCTGTTACAATACTTTCCACGATACTCAGCATATCTTCTTCGTTCTTTTGATCAGCTAGCTCATCAGCATTCAGAAACAAATTAGCTGTATCTATATTTTTACTCCACACGTTCTTATCGCTCTCAGGCATTGCATCATCACACGAATGTGTTTTACATGTATCATCTGTGGAGGAATATTTATTGGATTCTCGACCTAAAAGCTTCTTGACTGTTTCGGTCACTGCCAAAACCTCAGCATCTATTTTGTCCTCATCCTGGTTTTGCGCTTGCTTATAGACAACAGCTTTTACCTTTTCGCTGTAATAAAAAATCAATATAAAAGTAACTTCAAAGCGTAAGACACAGACAAAATGTTACCACATATACCTTCAGTCCGTCCTCTTATATACCAGCTAGTAATAATATATACAAAAATACATATATTAGTAGCAAATTGTAGAAAATGTGCATAGACTATTTCAGAGCTATAAGTTATATAGAGATTTAATCTGAGAAACAAGATTCCGATGACATTTTTCAAGCTTAATTAGTAATGATTCTTTAATTTTGCTTCGCAATCAAATGCTCCAATATTTATATCTAAAGATAACGTTCTAAAATATCTTGCACATATATGACAAATGTTTATAAATATGCTGTAACTATAAATTTAATCTATATATGACTTATAATAGTCCTACAATGCACATACTTCAAGTAATGTACTTGTACTCGCATATTATTACACAAGACAAGTTACTTTGTCTCTTATAACTTACAAAATTACTAACAACATCGCAATTGTAGTAAACGCTAATGCTGTAGAAGATACTTAAAAAAAAAATGAAATTATCAAGAAGTAAAATGATCCATGATAAACAAATGTGATTTCATGAAGGCACAAAACAATGTTAATTCACAGCACAAAAAATATATATATATACTAAGACAAAGAAATAAGGGTTAAACATACGGATTTGCTGAATGAGATGTATTTTTCAGCCATTGCATATTATGTAGCTTGTCGAGTGCGGCCTTCCGCTCTATGTCGGAAGTCTTTTCAACAGTGTTATCCATTATACCTATCACAAATATATTCATGAGACTAAATATTTATGCAACGTGTCCAGCTAAGCTTAAGTTTACACTTAAAAGACGCTCTTATACCCTCTGCAAATTATTTATGTCCAAAAAGTATTCTGGGTTATAAATAACTCTGGGTTACAAATGACAATAAAACAGTATGATGAAAAATTAATTACTTGTGACTATTATTTTCAATCGCAGCAATAAATAAACGAATTTCTCATGGCTCAATAAAAACTGGTTTGTAAAATAACCCAGAATTTCGTATAGTACCAGAGAACAAAATTCTATTCCACGCGTGGCGTTTAGCATCTCGCTATACGTCCCACGAGTATTGGAAGAAAGGAATAATTCGTCCAGAGGATCACAAGGTATTGTTAATACGATAATAGTGACGCAAGAACAACGGCGAGAAATCCGAGTAATCAAACCAATCCGCCGATCTCCGCCGAGGGTCGAAGCACAAGCAAATTTCGGGAAAGCTTCCTGCCAGGCTCCCTACAAACTGACCTACTTTTTACACCGATCCTCGGTGTTAAATCGGCTCCCAACGTCGTTTTTCCCCCCCGAATGTAAACACAAACAGCGAGGCAATGTTATGATTTCGACAACGCACACAGGCTATCCGGGGAGGAAGGGGAGGTTGCACGAGGTTGTTTTCGAAACGGTAGATTTACGTTACACAGAACGCGAACCGGTATGCCGAGGGCAGCGAAATTACGGACCCAAGTTATCGGAATAACAACGCGGGAATGAATCCCTCTTCACGTTACCTTGCCAGATTGTAATATTCGCCGAGACGATTGAACGTGGAATTACAGACGGCCCAGCAGTACCGGAAAGAATGTTGCCCCAGCCCTGGTGCAGATACAGACGATACGGACGCCATAAACAGAGATGCAGCAGGAAAATTTCAAAAATTCCACCGCTAGTCGACTGCCTATTTGCCAACTGCGCTGATTGGCTGCCGGAAGAGAGGAGTCCTCCGTAGTAGAGTTTTTTCATAGGTGTATCATAAAGCTCGTATTGGCGCGACGACATCATAAAGGAGGATTCACATTGCGTTGGCGTCCAATCCGACATCCAATAAAAAAATATTGTCTAATGTTTATTTCTAAAATTGAAAGAAATTAACTTACTTTTTATTTTTTTCTGGGTATCAAAGAATTAAAATATATAAGATAAAAATTAATTAAACCGTGATTAAATTTAATCTACATTGGTAAAAATGGACATAAAAATTAGAAAAAAATAAAATGTAAGTTAAACCAAAATTAAAGTTAATCTATATTTGTGGTAGAGATAAATATATTAAATTTATCAGTACTACAACCATTCACCACCGCTTATAATCCATCGCAAATTACATCCGATCACTCACTTCGACTGGACAATTAATTTCTGATTGGTTGGTCCAGTGGAAGAACTCCAGGCACCGGGGGCTGTGATTGGCTGTGGTCAATCTTTCAACGTGATCGAACGGGATGCTCCCCTTCTAGTGACGTAACACAAGATGCACTTGCCACTAGTTGGCATCACTTTTTGTTGTTGGCAGTCTTGACTGTGACTCGTCGTTGACAGGTTGACAATTGTGGACGCCGTGACAGGTGCCGGTCGAGGCAGATGTCAATGCGCGTCGATAGTTTCCGCATTTTGGATTAATTTGACAGTAGAACTGTGTAGTTTTTTCAGTGGAACTTTATAACATTTTTATACGCGTAATTTTGTTACATTTTTTATATACGTGAGACGTGAACGTCCTTCGTGCTCCGAATATTGTAGCACATTTCGACGAGATTCTCGGTGGACCAACCTTTCGTAAGTCTAAAAGGTTAAATATAATAAATTATATAGTCTCCGTCACACACAAAATACTGTTAATGAAACGATTAAATGACTGTATCAATTATTTTCTAATTATTTATACGAGTTTCTGATTAAACGACTGAAGCGGCCCACTGGAAAATTGCTGAAACGAAATGGTTACTTTTGTAATGAATGAAATAAATTAAAATCCATTGTTATCACTAGTACAAAATGCAAAAGAATATGCATTTGTGAACTTGTAAATATAAACGTTATACAAAGCCAAAAACTGAACTGATGATTGGCTCCAGAATATATGTTTAAGAGGATCTTGGCATGGACAGTCATTTCTATGGGAAAAAATTCTTCAAAGGTACAGTTAATACAGTTATTAGAAAGTGTTGGAGGTTTTAAAACCTTAACTTATTAATTTTTGAAGCCGTTACTCGATTATTGATTTGAGTTTATCATGTTGAAAACATCAGTCAAACATTCAATCAGATGAATTAATCGGAGATTCTTTTTTTATAATGTTTATTTTTGCAGGTGTGTGCACATGTGTATATTACTTTCGCACCGTGCGCTAATGAAAATGACTGGCTTTTTTCTACAGTACAATGTTTAATTTACTTCATTTTGTCTGCTTGTTACAAAATAATATAGCTATTTGGTTTCAGCAGACTCTTGATGGTTACACCACGCGTCAACTCTAGCTCATGAAGTCATTAAATGCTTTGTTTTAGGAATACCGTATTTCGGGCAAATTTGCGTTAAAGATATTTATCTTAATTTATTGTAATTTTTGCTGAAAGATAAAAGTACGTACCCACGTGACACAAGTGTTCGATGAAATACTTTGTTTGGAGAGACACGCGAACGTCAATATTATGCTATACTTTATAAATATGATATGGATATTGTCGAGACGTTTTAGGTATCTTTAACAAAATTTGTACAAGAGTTTGGAACAATATAGAAGTGTTCACTATGTTTTCAATTAAAATTCGTAAATATTCAAATAATATAGATTAATAATAAGGAGAACTCTGACCAATTTGTTTTGAAACACAAATTTGGAACAATGGAAGCGTTCACTATGTTTTCAATTAAAATTCGTAAATATTGAAATAATATAGATTAATAAGGAATAATAAGGATAACTCTGACCAATTTGTTTTGAAACACAAATTTTCGTTAGAACAATAAATTCAACATACTTTGATCGATAATCAATTTTAACTTTTTGATGCTAATAGACATTTTAAATCATTGAAAAGATTATTGGGAAAAATATCACTCTAGCCAAGATAATAAGTAAAATAAATAAAATAATATGGTATCATTGGTGTTCTAGTTTTTAAATCTCGCAATGCTAAACTATTGTTCGTCATGTATGCTGTTAACAGGAGCATATTTTATCCCGAAACAAATTATACTTTCGTATGATAATTGCCGGAAAAGTGACATGCATTTAAAGCAAAGAATATTTAGATATACTTTATCCAACAGGAAATGAAATAATGAATATAATCAGTGTACTTATCTACATACTAGTTGTTTACCTCTAAAGCGTCGTCTACAATGGCAACAGGGACATGCAGTAAGACGTAAGCAGTAAGCTACTGACCAACCACAGTCGATTATTCTTGAATTGTAAAAATCCCATTAGTCAGTAACTTACTGCTTACGTCTTACTGTATAATCTTGCTGCCATTGTAGACGATGCTTTACAATTGATCGAGTTTTATATCTTATTGCAAATTAATGTATATACTTTTCACAGATATATATATACAAGTGTAGCTCTAACGCTACAAGTTATCGGTATTCTGTTGACTATATTTTAGAATTTTTTTTGCAAAAGAGAACCGGTTTATTCGGCCAGTACATTTTTCAAGTATATCTAGTAGCATTATAATTTTCTAACACAGACATTTTTTTCTCAGAATTTTAAATCCCACAAAGGAGCAAAAAGTAATATTTCTCAGAATTATTGCGCGAGGAAGTAAATATGTTATTTGAGACAATGAGAGAGTAGTAGGTACAAAGTCTTCTCCCTTCGTTCGAGATCAAGGGTTGCTCTCGAAACGATCAGCGATATTCTTGGTACGCGAGAACACGCGTTCTTCGAGCTAATGGACTAAATGCTCGACAATTGCCTCTACATTGCAACGCTTCAAATTGAGTTACTTGTGACCGTTGAATTAATCGTACGATAAATAGCTGGCACGCACGCGACTCGTATACGCGATGCATGAGAGGATGCATTACAGTGCGCAGCACTACGATTAGATTACGTGTACCGTCCAGAGGATGCCGCCTTCCTCTTTTATTAGAAAACGACGAGTGGGAAGGGAAACATATTCGCACATTAGGCATATATTTATTCTAGAGGACTCGGTGTACAGGCAGGTCAAGGTTGTATACGCTTTCGAATAGATCTCGGCGCCCCTTTTCCCATCCGGACAATCTGGTGAACACGCAATTCAATGGGTCTCATACGAACGAACGGCGTGCCACGAGGAATTGCACGAAGAGACGTCTGCATACACACGACGCTCGGATACCGCGCGATGCGCCTCGGCCTTTAATCGGAGGAGCGAAATTCTCTCAATTTAGAGGTAAAATATATGTATATGTGTATGTGATATGTGTGTGCGTGCGAAGATACGTGTGAGATTTATTAATTGAATTTAATTACATAATCAATCGATGTAGGAAACGTCGAAGGCTAGCGCACCCGTGTGCATTAAGCGGCGCGATCTGCACAAGTTTTTTGTTATCTGGAAAGTATCGCATAAGTCGACCCGGTAATCAATGATTAACCTGGTCAGCCTTGAAACTCTTTTGAACTCCTTTGAACTGTTATGAAATGAAAGCCACCTGGGCCGCTAATTTATAATTCTCATCTACGACTCTATTTTACAATTTTATCGCGATAAATTAATTAAAATGAAATAAATAAATAAAATAAATAACAAATAGTTTTTTTTCCAAGAAAACCGTAAAGAATTAAATCGAGGCCAGTTATACGAATCTGCAGACGCAAATGTCTGATATCATATGATTATATTACTTATCTATTTCTAATTCCTTATGCAAAGGAAATTAGTTTTGATTTCTATTCGGATCCTTTTCAGTCAACAAATCGAATAGGATGATTTTATTATTTTTATTAAATTTGAAATTAAATTTTACGTTCAATTTTCAGTTGTGCTATTATTTTATGTATTACTAATACGACCGCAAATGTTTTCATATATTAAATTACCTCTACATTCTTTGACTGAAAGGAAAAAATTGTAGATAATATAAAAAATTTTGAATAAACAAACAGGTTACAGACAAAATTTGCAATTCTTTATATATATTTTATATATACATTATATAATATTATATATATATTAAATGCAATTTGATGATTAAAAGTATCGACAACGCTAAAACCTTTTAATGGATTTTAACAAATATTCTGACAGGCATAAACGTATCGATTAACGTATTTTTCATGATTCTGTATAAAAAGTGCGAAGGTTAACAGCAACTTTTCCCCAACCGATGTAAGTTCGGCTCGTTATCCGGTATATAAGGAGCACGGCGAAACACGCGTACTTTCAGTCTGCAGTCCGCTGGAATTTGTAAGCGCGACAGAGCTTTGCGGTGCATATCAACGGGTTAATAAATTTAGTACATACATAAAGTAGCACGGTGCAGCTTCTATGAATTAGAGTGACTTCGCGGAGAAGAAAAAAAGAAAAAAGGCAAATACGTGCGTGTTCGGCGAAAACCCGTTTCTCTCCCAGTGAAAGTATCCACCTTTGCACGCACACCGCTCTCCATCATCAATTTATTTATTGTTGCGGTTCCGGTTCCACGTTTTTCGTCCATGGTAAATTTAATCATATCTAGTATACACGACGCAACGTAATCTCACGTTTGCGCGAATTATGTTTCAACGATAATTCATATTATCAATAGATGAACACAATGCGCGAATAATAATACGTATTTTTATTTTTTCCTGGTACAGATAACATCGCTAACTCATTCAAAGAAATCAGGAAGAATTAATCGCTACGTATATGTCTACATAGCATATTTTTATCTACTTAAAGACAGTAATTAAAACCAATTCGTTAGATAATTAATTTTAAATAGATATACAGTGCGCTTGATTTAGGTGTGTACGTTCAATTATTTCCTTAAATAATAGAGTTAAAACAAAATTGTTTAAATGTATAAAAATTATTTTGTTTGAGAAGATCCAAAGAATGACTTGAACGAAAGTTTTAAATTATTTTTGTTTATGTTTTAATGAAAGTTTTATTCTTTTTAATAGAATAAATATTTATTTAATAGGCATCTATTTTATTCGTTTTGTAAGATATTCGACTATCGAAAATTACGTTTTATTGCACATTTTGAATTTGTTATCAAATGTCTTACGAAACTGGGATAAAATTACTTAGTCTTTTTTGACTATCAAAATCATAAGCTAATTCTTCTGTTTCTTTTGAGCCAATTATTTCATTTTACAAGTTGTTTCAGTTTTTCTTGTGTCGAACATCTAGTTTTATTCAGTATCTTGGACATTCATTATCTTTTCTCGTTACGTCTTCGATCTGCAAAAACTTTAATGTGTTATCCAACGTTCGTCACTCGCACAATTTTCAAAATCGACTCAAATTCATCGTAAAAATGCAAATAGCGAAATAAACTGTGATTGTAAATAATTTTTGATACCGAAAATTGATGTTTTGTGACTTGTGCAGTATTGTGACATTGTGTTATGACATTGTATTGTGGACAGAAAAATAAGTTAACGGAATAGAAAGATCGACAATTAATTTGAGATATTTATAATAGGAAAGAAGATGACCAGATGTTTATTTGAGCCTTTCTTGCATATCCATTTGCGTTTCGTTTTCTTGCATGTTGTTTTTTATCTGTTCATTGACCTCTTTAACGGTCTGTATATAACTTGGTTGATTTGTTGAATTTCTATTTAAATCTTTAGGAACATATTTTTAATACTTCAAATTTTAATATTATGTAAAAAATCAACTTTTTTTAACTTTCAAAATAAAAATAATTTAATATGAATTGAGTAAAATATCAACTGCGAGACTCCGCAATGTTCTTTTCCTGAATTTTGTAATTTCGTGTTTTGTCGGTTATCTTTTTGTTATAACGCATTTTTGTACCTCCTATTCATTGTACAAAGCCTTGCATTTCTATGCCTTTGTATATTCTACTTGATAAGAGTGCAATTATTTAGACTTTATCATTTCGATAATGGAACGTGTACGATAGAACGTAGACAGGTTTCCTTAAATACGACACTTTTGCATGATATCCGCTAAAATTTATTGTTGAATTAGCGATTAATTAATCAAATGGTTAAACCACGGATCGGTTAGTACATTTATAAAAGAAACGGTATATAATTAGTTTAAATTAAAAGTATATCGAGCCTCTCTTGAATAAATTAACGTAATAATAGGGAGGCAATAAGAGCCAAGCGCAGTAATTCACGCACAATATTATGTATGATAAGTCAATACAAAACTAACCAAATTCGCGGACGGTTCGACTCTTTTTTGGAGTCATCTTCGGCGCAATGTGAAGGTTACAACGTAGTCAAATTAGATAAAATACAAAAGAAAATGTGTGTAAAATATGGATCAATAGTGCGGTCTTTCATACTCGCAGTTGTTTCTCAGGTGTCGATCCGTATTCACACCTGTCGAACTTTGCGTATGAGAAACAACTGCAAGTATGAAAGACCGCACTATTGATCCGTATTTTATACACATTTTCTTTTTTATTTTATCTAATTTGACTTCTAGTATTTCTCTATATTTTTAAATGTAGAATGTTGTACATATGTGTGTGTACACGGAAAGATTTATATATTTAATGGTTCGTTGTTTTTGGTGCACGAAGCTGGCTTGATCCAGAATGGCTACTGAAGCTGATCGCTGGAAGAAAAAAACCTGTCTCGATCGGCTGCGCAAATTAGCATCGAGACGCGTGCCGATCTTAGCGTGGTTACCGAAATATAACTCGGAAAAATTCTTCAGCGATGTCATAGCCGGCATAACAGTCGGTCTTACCGTTATGCCACAAGGACTCGCATATGCGACATTGGCTGGTTTGAAACCACAGGTATGCAATACAATCTTACAAATGAAACACCTTGACTCCCAATTCCATAGAATTAGATGATATAATAATGATAGATTAATAATGATAGATAGTAAGTTTCAATTAATATCTTAATATTAATGGCAAATATCAATGTTTTTTTTTCTTATCGACGCTTGTCTCCAATACGAGAACGCGTTATTAATATCGTGTTTTGTTTCCAGTATGGTCTTTACTCGGCATTTATGGGCGCAATAGTTTACGTAATATTTGGCTCCTGTAAAGACATCACAATCGGCCCTACCGCGCTCATGGCGCTAATGACTCACGACTATGTGGAAGGAAGAAATGCTGATTTCGCCATACTTCTCGCATTCTTATCCGGTTGCCTGCAATTACTAATGGCATGTTTACGTTTAGGTATGCTGACTCAAACGAATAAGAAAATGCTTTATTTTAAGTGAACATCGGATATGCGATAGAAAGTAAAATTTCAAGTGAAATAATTAAGTATTTCTATTCAGAAATGCGCAAGGTAAGACTTACGTGAGGTACGCAGGCTATGCGCAAGAGTTATTGGAAGTTTTTAAGATTTCCGAGTAAAGCCAATGCTATTTTGCACATATCCTCTTTACATATTTGAATGGTATCTTTAATGATTTAACGGATGTTATGTATTTGCGTAATATATAAAGATGCAATTTTGTAGGTGTACTTGTAGACTTTATATCGATACCAGTTACTGTGGGATTTACGTCAGCAACGTCTGTTATAATCGTTGCTTCGCAATTGAAAGGGTTGTTAGGTTTAAAAATTTCATCTCAAGGATTTGTAGACACTTCAATTAAAGTCTTCGAAAATATCGGTGACACGAGTCCATGGGATGCTGGGATGAGTATCTCTTGTATCGCAATACTATTGTTGTTTAGGGTAATGAATGAACCTTTATATTCGTTTGATATTTATATTATATCCAAACATATTCTCTTGATAAGTACTTTGTACAATTCACAGAAAATGAAGGATGTCAAATTGCACGCCATCGGCAAGAAGTCGACGAATTATCACCAGATAATCGCGAAAGCGATATGGCTGCTCTCCACGGCGCGGAATGCCATCGTCGTGGTCATTTGCTCCGTTATCGCTTACAAATATGACTCGTCCGAGTCTGGATCTCCGTTTATTCTAACAGGTCCAGTGAGATCTGGTCTTCCGCCCTTCGGCCTGCCACCTTTTTCCACACAAGTGAATAATCAGACTTTCACCTTCACGCAAATGTGCTCCGAATTGGGTGCTTCCATAGTATTGGTGCCGATAATAGCTGTGCTCGGTAATGTGGCCATAGCCAAGGCCTTCATGAACGAGGGAAAAGTCGACGCTTCCCAAGAACTCCTGACGCTCGGAATCTGTAACATTCTTGGGTCTTGCGCGAGTTCTATGCCGGTTACAGGATCGTTCAGTAGATCAGCGGTGAATCACGCCAGCGGCGTGAAGACTCCAATGGGTGGATTGTACACCGGAATTCTGATCATACTGGCCCTCAGTCTGCTCACACCGTATTTCTATTACATCCCGAAAGGTAGGCAAAACACTTTAATGCGCGCAACACATGCAATACCAATTTGGCGTAATTGTTACCCTCTTTTTTTTCCAGCTTCATTATCGGCCGTAATCATTTGCGCGGTAATATACATGATCGAGTACGAGGTTGTGAAACTGATGTGGAAATCGAGCAAAAAAGATCTCGTACCGATGTTCGTTACCTTTTTGTTTTGCCTCGTCATTGGTGTGGAATACGGTATTTTATCGGGGGTCGGCATAAATCTGATGTTCCTGCTGTATCCTTCCGCAAGACCTACGGTCCACGTCGACAAGTGCACAGTAGGTAGTAGCAAAACATAAAATTCTAACGAAGGAATCTCTTCTCTCTTTTTCTTCTTCACTACTCTAAATTGTTAATTGTAGAACTGTGAACAAAGGAGCGTTGAACCTTACGCGTACATTGGATTTATTCTTTTCCGAGATATACGATTTTATTATTACGCGCCTAAATGTTATGTTTCAATGAAACTAATGCCAAATTTGTTATAGACCGATTGTGGTGCTGAATACCTGCTGGTCACACCAGGAAACAGCTTATATTTCCCAGCTGTCGATTTTATAAAGCAGTCGGTTGGTAATGCTGGCATAAAGCAAGGATCTAGTCAAATACCGGTTGTTGTTGATTGTAGATATATTTTAGGGGCAGACTTTACGGCTGCTAAGGTAATATCTTTTTTTAGAGAATTGAACATATTTTCAACACATTCGCTACCACATTAGATTTTGTACCCTCACAGACTACGTTATATCTCTGCCATCTGCTTCGACATAATAATTACTCGATATCATAATCAAAATCTCAGACCACGCATGTTACTGTACTATAATATTTTCCATATTATTTGATGGACACACACCAACGAGATAGACTTTATTTTCATAGATTGCACAATTGGCTGTTATATATTGTGATATATTGACATTATGTGAGAATCAACCGTGTCACACATATATGATACTAGTAGCGAATGTGTTAAAGTAATATGATTAAACTATAGATCGTGATGAATTCAAGTGTCGCTTCTTTCTCAATTCAGGGTATGAAAACGTTGATCAATGAATTTAGTAGTCGCAAACAGGGATTGTACTTCTACAATCCAAGATCGGATGTGGTTACTGTTTTGAAAGGTGCCTGCGGCGACGAATTCCAGTACGTTTCGACTCAGGAAGAGCTCTCTTATCTGTTATCGACAATTCAAGGTATTCAAATTATTTACCATAATCATAAGGTGAAACGATAATAATGTGAAGTGTGGTAATTATTTACAAAAGATGACACTTTATCGATTTATAAATACAAGATGTCTGGAAATAAGCGTAATATCTTTCATGGTCAGATACAGTGGATTAAACTAGATAAAAAAAGTCCTCTATCGATTTTTATAATTAATAAAAAATTAAATTCTCAAATGAGTTACGTTTTGTAAATAATTATAACTTATAAGTGTCATAATATCAAAATTTTAATAATAAATTTTATTTTTATATTTAAGAAAAATTTATGCATTTTCTTATTTTCAGACAAATCTTCGCACCAACTTCTTGAGCAAACACATGATAAATTACATTCATCTTTAATGCTAAACAATTCGGAGATGATTCACAGAAATGCGCGTGGTTCCTGCCATGAACTTAGTGAAGTCACTAGTACACTTTTACACGCGACTGCAAGTTGAAATTGAATCTCATTCGATTGAATCTCACTCGATTTATTAATTTAAAAAAACAAAAGGTTTTATTAAACAGAATGTTACATAGTTACAATCTTTATTTAAATGATATTAAGCACACAAAACAATAAATTAAAAGCGACGTAGAAATAAAATTATTTCTTAACCTGAAAGTTTTGTTCTTATTTTTGCAATTTAGAAATCATAAATAATCCTGCTGCTTGACCTAAATATTATTATATATCCTAATGTATAATAAGAATTATTTCAATCTCATCTTCATATTTATATGTACATGTAATGCATAGAAATCTACGAAGTACAGTCTTAGTTGGCACTTGCACTACTATTGCATATATAATCGTTGTTAACAAAGAACCGTATCACACAATGTAGTGAAGGCACACAAGAGTCCATCACCAGAAGAATTATTTGTTGTTATAAAAGAACGTGTATTCGTTGTGTATATTCGATGTAAGTGTAATTGTTACAAGTGTAACGTCGTAATAATACTCAAAAATATTGCACTCAAAATCATTCTCGTTATCTAATCGATTTCTATTTAATAAGAAATGATGTACTCGTGTATCAATCGATAAAATGTATCGATGATATATCTCTCTTTGTGCTTTCTCATACGTTATGGAAATCACAAATCCTCAAACTTACATGCTTTGCTGTCGGGCGGTAGAATAAAATTATACTTTTTTACATAAATTTGGCGTGGAATCTAATTTAAAGAATAAAATAATTGATTTTTTTTGCATTAATTTTCAATACGATGCATATAATACTCTGATATACCTGGAAAATTAAAAAAAAAATAATTCTGTAAAGATGGAACTCTTTTAAATATAATTTTACTCCAAAACGTAGTACTAATTAATTTCGTTACCTTTAAATTATACAAGAATTCTTAATTTATATCTGTTCTACATGCGCGATGAAGGCTGTATACTAATCGTTTCTACTGGTTCTTTAGAGCTCCATATAAAATTTGTTTTACGTACGTTCAATAAAGACCGGAGACAATATCTGTTACTTTACCACGTTTCCCAATCAACGAAGATGTCGTGTTTCTTCGACTAATTGGATTTTCTTTAATTTGCTGGTTTCCCGAATATTTGCCCGCGTTGAAACGACTCTTCCCGAGGCCAAATGTGTCGTACGTTCGTCCAGCAAAAATTCCCGATTCGTTCGGTCTGCCGGAAAATTTGTTGCCGACTTTATCCTTCTGACAAAAGGAATTGTGTCTTACGCCATTCTTCGATAATATCATTGGCGAGTCTTCCGAGCTAGTTTCACCCTTGCTCTTCGCGTAATTTAACTCGTTATGATAATTCCATTCGCGATTTCTCTGCTCCTCGTAAAATTCGTCGCTTTTTAATTGCTTATTGTTAATGTGATACAGTTCGTCGTTCTTCAGATGTCTGTTTCTGGAAACGAGATTATCCCGCCTTCCCTGCTGATCCAATTCCGAAGAATTACCGCAGAAATCATCAAGTCTGATCGCTCTCGATCTCAGCTGCTTCTCGTCGCGTGACTTGGCCGCCTTCGACTGACGCTTATCCCCGTTCCACTGATTCTGTTCTTGCGTAATGACAATGTCGACCATCGAATCTAGACCCTCGTCAATCCTGTCCAGAGATTTCGTTATCAGACTGGGAGACTTCGGTGCGTCGATCGATCTCGGTCGCCTCGTGACGACGGGCTTCAGATTGAAGTCCGTGATGTAGAAGAGACCGCTGTCGCTCTCCCCTTTCGACGAGCACTGATCCCTCTTCGGTCCATGATGGGAGATGTGATGGAAGGATTCCGATCTGCGCATCTTAAATCTGGAGGAGTCAATCAGGAGCGACGCCTGCTCCTGTTTCTCCGACTCGTTCGATCTCTCATAATTCTGCAAGCTCCGATGATCGTCGAAGGAATTCAAGCTTTCGAACTTTCTGATGCGGCACTCCACTCGGCCCCCCGACCGTCTCGACTGCGGACTGGACATGTTTGACTCGAGATAATCGTGGCTGGCCGAGCGTCGTAGATATTTCCTCTTTTCAATCTCGCTTCTGTACTTGGAGCTGTGCCGATGAATCGTCCGTTGATCGGCCGATCGTCCGGAGGACGTCTCGAATCCCTTGGGAATCGAATCGAGCTGCCTGTAAACGTCGATCTGTCTGCTGATCGGTCTAACGTCCGTGATCTTTGACTTGGAAATCTCGTAGCTTCTTATCGTCTTTCGGTTCTTTGCTTCGTTATCCCCGAAATGACGCAGATCGTCGAGGCTCTTTCCGAGCTTAACGTCGATACGATTCGGACCTATCAGTATAGCGTCGCTTTTAGTGTGCTTCTGCAGTTGATCCTCACCGTTGACGCTCCTTATCTGTCCGTCGTAGATCTGATGTTTGCTGTTGTACTTGAGCTTGGAGGCGCTCAGCAGGGAATCGCTGCCGTCACCCAGGGTCTCCTCCTCGACCTCCTCGTCGTGGGAATTGTACATTTCTGCGTGATCGGCAAAGTCGCAATGCCTGGCGGCCAGGATGGCAGTCAGGCACGGTGGTGCCCTTCGTGGCGGCTGGGGGTGTAGAATAGCCGGCACTATCGCCTCCTCCACGTCAGGTCCCCTCACGACGATCTTCACGCTGCCCTCCATCGACGACTTCGACGTTTTGCGCGGCCCACCGGGACTCGATCTCTTCGTGCCGTCCGAGTCCGTGCTGTAGTCTTGTTCGTTGCCGAAGTAGGTCACCTGCTCGCCCTTCAGCTGATTTTGAAACGCGTTCGAGCCCGCGTTCGGTTTCAGCTTCAAATCTATCTTGGATACTTTATCATAGATATAACTCTCAGAATGGTTCAAGGAGACTTTGGAATTCGATCGGTATAATTCGTTTTTGTCCGATTTCTGGTCGTTGCGGACAACTTCTTGATCGTTATTAGGACGACGGTTCAGTTCCTGAGTTTTATCGCTGAATTCCTCCTCGGCGTCCTTCACTATGATCCTCAGCTCCTCGATCACGTCGTCTATCGTTGTCTCCTGATCGTTGCTCTGCGTAGGTGAAGCCTTCTGCCGATTGGTTCTCGCCTGATGCGCCTTCGTGTCTTCAGGGCTGCTGGATCTCTCCGAGGAGCTGATACCCTCGTCCTCCGCGTTCGAGGATACTTTAGGACTTTTAGCGGAAATGAGAATCGTCGGCGAGGATTTATCTCGCTCCTCCACGTTGAGGACATTCTGTTTCTCGATCTGCATCTGCAGAAGCGATACCTTCTTGCTGAGTATCCTGCAGGTTTCTTCCGCGCGCGTCACCCTGCGCTGCAGAGCGTCCACGTCGACGCAGTTGTGCGTCCATTTCTGAACTTCCTTGTGCAGTAAATCAGTTAAAGCGTCCTCCTCGCGTCCGTCGAATTCCCTCAGCCATTCCTGAAGTACCTGCGGCTCTAAGCCAGCTTCGCAGGCCTCAGCCTGAAAGAAAGCGAAATATTTGCGTTCCGATATACGGAAATAAGAGGCGAATCTTATAAAATAACGTATGTATCTTTTTTTATTTTTTATACTAACGATTTTATTAAGACACAAATATTGGTAAACATATTATCGTTATAGATATCACATTATATTATATACATGTGCGTGCACATTAAAATAATCATGCTACAATCATATCATTATACATATTTCGTTTAATTATTTTTAAAGACCTTTATGATGTCGCCGAATATGAAAATAGGATAAAAAAAAAAGTGTTTTAATGCACAAAATAAGATTTTTAATCTTAAATTGTGAATTACGGGATTTTTATGGGGTCGCTGAACACGAAAATAAAAATAAATTCTAAAAAGCCCAAAATTACACAGATTCAAAAGTTTTCAGCTTACAAAATAACAGCTGTTTGATTTCTCGATTCTTACTGTCATTGAACGTGAAGGGGTTCGACAAAAGTATCAAAATAAATGTATCGAGTGGCGGACAGGGTGGACACAATTATTTTTATCGTATATCTTACCTGGATATATAGCTTGGTTTGTGTGCGGGGTGCAGATTTTAGAAAAGCGTTCAGAAACGAAACTCCTGCGACCCTCAACGCGATAGCCGCCCTCGGAGCTAAAAGAGCGCCCGCTAAAAATCGAAATCTCCCACCTTCCCCGTATTTGAGTCTCAGAGTTGACACCGCTTCCGAAACAGCCGCGTGTCCACCTGGTGCTTGGCACACTTTCGTCAGGAGCTGCAAAAGCAATTAAACGCAATTCCGTTAAACAAAATAAAATGCAATACAGAAGATGTAATATTGAGGACTCGCGATGCGTGTTTGCCGAAGAGAAAGAAACGAATGTGTCGAAGAATTTACGCGGGAGATATTTGCAAAACCGATTTGGAACCTGATTGTTTCTTACTTCGTCGCTATAAACGGATATTCTTTTAATATTTATTATACACACCCAGTAAAAAAACTTCTATATAGAAAACATACAATTATATATTTATATAAAATATGTCTATATATATTTTCTTTTTCTTATATAATTTCTGCCCGTATATATAAGAAGAATAAAAAAAAAATAAATAGAAAATTTATTTTTATATTATTTTTTTACATAGAGTAAAATTGCAATTGGATTATACAATCTTCTATATATAATCATGTTTTATATACAATTATCACATTTATATACGATTAGAAATGGAACATTTTTTCTCATTTCTTCAAACTTCACTTTTTATTTAAAAAAATAATACGAAAGTTATCCTCTTAATTATTTTTTAATTCTTCTTCTTATTGTTTTTCCCGTATATACGAACAGAGATTATACAAAAGAAAGAAAACATGTATGGACATATCTATTTATACATGTTTTTATATGAAAGATTTGTTACCGGGCAGTTTTACCAGAATTCGTGATCACGTGCCACGGAAGTAACTGTCCGCCTCAGCTGGAACGAACCTGAGGCTGATCGTATCGCGCGATATCCGCTTGCACAAGGTGCACGTCCCGAGTCCCGACCCCGACAGCCAGAAAGATTAAAAAAAGAAGAGGGTCCAGCGTCATCCGCGTGACATGCGCGTTTAAGTTTGTAAACGAAGTCAACGCTCTCGATCGAATAACACTCAGCGGATGAGCGATAAAAACTGGTTTCGTCGGTGAGCACCTTCGAAATAACGGCGTCACTGCCCGTCGAGCGTATCGCTCCGCGCTCGAAACACGCGTTTACGACCCCGTCCTGACGACTTGAAAAAAAAAAAGCCCGAACGACCGAGAGTATTAACTTATTGCACAAGACTATTGACCCACTGGCCACGTCGTTACGCGGTAACTTCTTTATTTCCTCGATGTGTAAATGCTTCATCGCTTTTGCGATAAGTATATCGAGTTACTGTTAGCATTGATATCTTTAGCCGCAATTCGCATTGAGGTGTGAACACCCCGAGTGGCAGAGTGATGCTAAAAGATGACACAATGACCAAAGTAGACCGCTACGTCGTCTTTCGACGTCACTCCGCTATTCGAGACGAGCAGTATTCCGCTAAAAATTAAAAGTAAAATATCAAACATATATAATTGTATTGAATAAAGTATATAATTAACGCACCGGTAGTCTTTAACCCAACTGTGTGACTAAAATCACGATGAGTGATTTTAATTCAATAAACGTGGCCAGTTGATTAAAAACTACCTGCGTTAATTATTTACTGGCGAAGCAAAGTCATTGTTTTTGATGTATAATTAAATTAATTATATTGTTTATGTTATGCTTGGCAAAAATATATTGGATCTGGAGATGCAAACTGAACCTCTCAGGAAACGATCTACAATATCGTGGAAGGGGACAGAGAGTCTCGCGTTGACAGCGTTCGCGCGACACGCAGTGGCTCTATAACCGATTCTTTTTATCTAACGGTACCGCGAGCGGAAGTGGCGATTGTTACCTGAAGAGCCAGAACTCTGGACCGGTTCAGACTACTGGTCAGACAGACTGCGAGAGCCAAGAGGCCGGGTTGCGCCTGCACCAGTAACCGTGGCGCATCGGCGCATCGTTCGCCGCACGCCGCTAAACATTCCACGCAGCCCAGTTCGTCCAGGGCGGCCCTTCTGGTGCCGATCCTAGGTCCGGTCTGTCCCGAACTCGGCGGTGAACTTTGGGCCAGTTGAACGCCGCGCAAGGTCTCCAGCAGCAAGGTGATTCCATCCGCAGGCGGCGAGGCGAACTCCTGCACGAAGCTGAAAAGGAAAATCAGATGTGTGGTCAAAAATCTCCGACATCTCAATTGTAACAATTATAACAAATCTCATTTTTAACACTTCCACATTCTTAACGTTTATGCTGCTTTTTTATTAGGTACTTTACTACATGACTTTATAATAGTGTAACTATATGTATGTGAAATAAGAAAGCAAGTAAAAAGAGCAAAGATACTCTGAACAATCTATGATTTTACTTGTCATAAGTGCAAGTCTGGGAATGAAGTCACCGATACATGCACGTTAAAATGAAATGGATTTTTAGAAAATTAAAATTTAAGAAACTGTAATTTCTAGAATTGAGGAAAGAAAACAAACAATCATTTCGAAAAATAAATCAGACTCAATGTTTGCCAGTTTAGAAAATTCTCGCCTTGGAAATTTTTTGGACTTGCAATTTTTTCGCTTTTTCTCTCAAATGTCCAATTTACCCGCCTATTTCATTTTAAATGCAGAAAGTATGTAACTACAAAAAACAGATCTACAATAATAAGCGTCATGCGACTCGCAGCGACGAGGCGAGAATTTCTAAACTGTAGAAAACCTGTTCGATGTCGGAAAATATATACAAACGGAATATATACGGAGCGACTCCGGTCGTTCTGCAAATTTGAACCGTGATTCTGCCACTGAGCGTATACACCATTTCAGATATTACATGTTTACGGCTAAGGGGACTTCTCGTCTAAACTTAAACATACCGGTAGTTACGCCAATGAATACTGGTTGTAATAACATTCTTATCCTACGGACAAAAATCGTCGCGTAAGCGTTGAAGATATTAAAATACAAAGAAAAAAGCCTAGTAATTACATAATTACGGAGCTTCTCGCTCGGCAAGAAAACCGATCCGGTTTATGCGCGTGCAGCTCAGCGAGTTTTTTTCCCCCCCGAGATTGTCACCACGAAGAGGGCGACTTCGTGATTGGACGGAGGAATCGATCATCATCGATTCCTGAATATATTAACAAAGACATTACAAGAAAGACCTGTCCGAGGCCGCCGCGGGGATAGCCTTCTCATCACGCACGACGCGGTAAGAATCCGAGTATCGCTTATATTCGAAGGTACTATAATTCATATTTACATCATGCGGATAAAGACCTTCCTCATTCTCTGTGTATCTCTCTACAAAACTCATCTCGCTCGGTTAAAACGAACGAAACAAATTTTATCATCGAACAATTAGTATTTCAAAGCTAATCGTCGATAAAAGGCTCGACGACACGTGATCCTTCATCGATTCGACGTTTTTAACTCTACACGTCATAAATCGAGCTTCACTATAGCGTATCTCCGATCGATCCGAGTGTCCTTTTACGAAAGTCTTCGGGATTCAGCCCAGGAGACGTTTTACCTTTACAATTACCCGCAAACGCCTTAAGGTAAACAGGTGTGAGGACGGAAAAGTACACGTTATACCTGTCACGCGGTGACAAGTCCATACGCGCGCGAGTACTTCGCAATCCTTTTTTTTTTTTCAATTTTGTGGAAACGATGCGCATCGAATCTATCGTAATTGCTAAGGTTTTTTCTAGCTTCCTCCGATCGGTTTAATTTCCTTAATCGCGCGGCTGCTTGGTAGACACGCGATGGCGTAATAAAAGAGATGGCATCGAGAGTAGATGGCCTCGTCTTCGTGCGTTTTACGAGAATTCGTGTTGAATTGTACGTATCAAAGTTCAGGCTGTCCGGGCACTCTGTGAAAACAATCGTATAATGAAAATCTCTATCATTCATTTGAGAGACTGCAGATTATCTCTTCTCCTCAGGCGAATAAAATGCATTCTAATTCTCACTAACACGATTCCTCTTTATTTCTTCGAGGAATGTCGTGCTGAAAGAAAAAATTTAGTCTCGTTCATTCGTTCAAAAATGTTCCATCGAGAATAAAAAAAATTTGATCGCGAGGCATTTTACATGTTTTACGCTGTACCAAATTTAGCATGAGCGTCCCGTTGCATTGTCAAGCGCGTTCAGGACCAAAGAAGGACCATTCCTGGCCTCGCGTGCCATTTATAGTCTCGGAAACGTTGCGCAACATTCCGTTATTCGCCAACGCGTAGCGGCGAACGAGGAAGAAAGAAAATGATAAGCACAAACCATAAATTTAAGAACCGCCATGGCCGATCGACATGTTTTTCGGCTAATAAGAAGCTGTGCGAGATCCTGTGATTATCAATTGAAGGTAGAAATGGGCAGCAAGTCAATCATTTCGTATCTCTTTTCTGTATAATGTTATTTTAACGGTATGAAACACTTGAACCTTTGAATATTATTATATAGTAAGACAGGTAAAGTAGTATTTTGCAAGTAACGGTAGAAATGCAAGCGAAAAGAAAGATGATATCGGCACGGAGTATCTTTATTTAACTTTCGTAACATATCCACCTTTATCCACGTATCCCTTCAATTAGCATTTTCGCTTGGCACAATTTCGCGCGGAAAAAACAATTCTGGGAATAACGCCTTCGTTACTTCATCCCGTGAAAAACGATTCTTAGCCATTGAACGAAAGTACAGTCTGACTATATTACGATACCACGACGGCGTCGGTTTACGAAGAATCGAGCATTATAAAAGCTGTTGAAAAAAATATTCGGAGGCGCGAGTGGCTCGAATGCCGTAGATAAATGTTCAGTACAAGACATCCGGCGTTATGGCGCATAACTTGCCGAAAAAATGTTCCTCGAAATGGGCTTTGTCCACAGACGGAAATTGCTGTAAACAGCCATGAGTGTGTGACACGCGGTGAATCGAATACACGGGGGACATGCAAATGAGTATTAAATGCCTCCTATATATCGCCGCGGTCGACGTCTCTCGCGTTTAACGACAAAGAAAGGCGAGAGAGAGAGAGAGAGGAAGACGGGCGGTTCTCTCTTCCCTCTTAACAATGGATGCATTATGTTACCGGGCGTATTATGCATAATGCGCGAGGTATCGCGATACCGCGGCGCAGTACGTGCACGAAATACAGAGGATCCGCTTTTGTTGCCCGCGCCGTAAAAATGCCGTGGCGACCGCGTTCGAAGAAAACGAAAGCCCTCGTAGACGATGAGAGTGACAGTAAAAGAGAAAAACTAACACATGTGACTGTCACCGAACATATATAAGTTCTTTCTCTCGATACTTAAGTATTACAGACAGATTCCTTTCTTTCAAATAGTCTTTACCTTCTCTCGTTCTTTTTTTTTTATATTGAAAAAAGCAGTTTTTCTTGACAATCAGCATTTCGTGCAAATAAATGGCGCGTAGCGAAGAACAGATTGATGTCGTCGGTAAAAAGTTCGATGAAACCGGACAACTATATATTCCAAAAGAACGAGTGTCGAGACCGGCCGAGAGAGAAGCCTCGATACGTACGGATCACTGGGCAGCACATGGCGCATGAATATTGATAAAGCATAAAACATCCACGATAACGGCAACGTGTTTCGATCGCGATGGATAAACCCAATATTACACGTACAAATGTATGATAATGTGTGCATATAATTCATGAAGGTAACGTCTATGATAGCGTGTACGTGTTGGTCCCTTTTGTGTAATGTTATTGCTTATCGCTTGACAAAATGACGTTTTCGTGCCGTCTCACATTATTATAATTCTCTCATTACGAGTCTATTTCTCGACAATCTTGCGTAATTTTTTTGAAATTCCAAGTATTTATTTTATTACGTAATTTTACAAACATAGAGAGACACGCCAAGTTTTCATCCTTTACTCTGATTTTAAATCTGTTTTGTACGATTTAAAACCTGCGTGAAATTATAATAAAACCGCAGAAAACCGAAAGAAAATTTTATTAATTAAACATAGGTACGTAGAATCTTAAAAAATATTTTTCTTCTTTTTAAATTTAGGTTTGCCTTGGTAATATTTAGCTAATTAAAGATTGATTTTATATCAATCTTTAACCCTATTCACTCCAACGTTTTTTCCCTTTTAATCCTCGCATCATAACTCACGAACGAATTGACGAAATTTAATGTTCCAAAGCGCAAATTAAAACTACTACTTTTAGCTTTAATTTGCGCTTTGGAACATTAAATTTCGTTAATTCGTTCGTGAGTTATGATGCGAGGATTAGAAACTCGTAGGACACGAAAGGGCATGGTTGGAGTGAATAGGGTTAATTTAAATATAATAAATATAAAATAGTATAATAAATATAAATATAAATATAATATAGTAAATATATACACACATTATATAGATATGCATTAATATATACGTTAGAATATATGCGAGAACTCATCGACGAACGAAGTGCGATAGAGTTAACCGAGTCATAATTGCACGGCGGACTAATGAACAAGATACAAGTGCACCTCGACACATTTCAAGGACAATGAAGAAACCAGATACAAGAACCACATCGTGGAACCCACTGAGGTGTAACCGGCGGGAAAGAAGATGCTCAAGGGGTGAACGAGCACGCGGGCAAACAATGACAGACGTATCGACGTGCACCGCGCAAAAAGACCGGCAACGGCAGCGGTGTCTGATATCGTGTGAGAGGGGAAAAAAGCTTCCTCGTTTTTCATCGTGCGTGTACTAGGAAGCGGTTATGCATTCGTTATTACGCTAAGCGGAAGCACCTGTGGACTATGAGTGTACCGGCGGGTTCGGTGCCCGGTCGAGGCTTCGCCTTCGAGGCGACTAATACTCGCTCGTGTAAGAAAGGGAGGGAAGGAAAAAAAAGAGAGAAAAAACGGCCGAAAGATTTTTCCCTTCTTTGTTTCCCTTCGCTTCATACATTTTTACGTATCTATTTCCCTTTTTTCCTTTAATTGACTAAAATGAACTCTCGGAGACTTAATCGAAGGACCGATTTGTTTTGCATAATGTAAGAATCCTCTGTTAAGATTTCGTACATCGCCATCTTCGTTTCTTACATTCGTGCGCGTTTCCTTTCTGTGCTCGCTGCTGCGTGAAAAAATACATCATAATAAAAATACAGCGTAACGATATCT